ATGATTGATTCACCAGGAAAATATTTTTTTCATGGGACCAAAAGCAGCTGATAGATATCACTCCCTCTATCAGAAACACTGAAACAGCTATAGAAACTATTTTGACTTGGACTCACCAATTATAGCCTTAATCTTGTACACTTGGTTTGCAAAGACCCCACCTTCTCCATCAGCACCACAACCGTTGGACCGTCCATGCTTATTATACGTGTCCTCGGCGTCTGATGCACTTGCACACCAACCTCCAGCCTGCAAAGCAAATACTTTGTATCCAAAGGACAAGGTTGCTGTGAGGCACTTGTCATAAGCATCAGGTCGTGATCTCCAAGAATCTTTTAGTAGAGGGCGTTTCCCTTCAATTGGCTGTATACCTCTGTTGTTTACTATATCCTCCCAGCAACCGAGGTCTTCTACGACCACCTCTGAGCATTCTGAAGAAAGTTTTGTTTGTTTAAAAGGATATTTCTCATTTTAATTCTCCATCATTCATGCCTTAATTTTCGGGATTTCAAAATAATGCACCTAAAAGAGCAGATTCTGATCAAGACGTGAATTCTTAAATACGTGAATAATTTAAATATTTAATGATTCATCTTTCTTAATTTCCTACCTGCCACATTTTACGACAGTATCGATGAGACACCGACGGTATATATAATATATTTCATAAAATAGTGTCATAGTAGTAATATTTTCTTTTTCTTACCTAAAGTGTTCCGTATTAAAGCTGCAACGAGCAGAATAATCACTGTTCTTGACCAACACATGTTGTGCATCACTCTCAATACAGCACAAGGCAACTAAAAAGTAAGTGACTCAGATGAAAAATTATAAGTAAGTATGTGATCCAACAATCGAATTTAAATTTTGGCGACATAATCCACGAATTCAGAGTAGTTACAGTAGTAACAGTATATCTTCAACAAAGTGGCACGTCTTAAATATGTAAAATGGTTATGTTATACGCCCAGAAGGGCATCCTGTATCAAAAAATCCAAAAAGTTAAAGTTCAAGTATGAAAAGAAAATCGCGACGAAATCTTTAAATTGATCATTAACGACATCTTTAAATTGATCATATTTCTAAAAGAGTCTGAGTTTTCAAAGACATGGTAAATACTAGACGGTATAAAATGATTCCTGCTGGCAGCTGCTAGCTATAAAATAACAACAACTGTTGAGCCACCAAGACCACAAGGGCATACCACCATTGCATCTCTAATCCTGCATACAGATCACTTTTCAACAGGCTCACTACTACAATACCATTAGTTGAGGTAACCCCACTCACTTTAAAGGGTTAGATCCCCAGTTGACTCGGCCATATTATGAGGCTGGGTGAATGGGGCGAATATGTTGCAGGTCTTTGCCTGGGCCTATGGGTACTGACTTTTGCCCCCCCCCCCCCCCCCCCCCCCTGTAATAAAAATATAATAAAAGTTATTATAATATATATGTTGAATTTTGTTCGTTAGTCATTAAGAGATCTGAATTCAGTCTTTCCTCAACTTGATGTTGAATCTCCAAACCTGCATACAAATCACTTTTCAACAGACTATTGCATATTTGCTACTACTACTATTACTCATTAGTTGAGATGGGACCATTCACTAATAATGGATTAGATCCTCAGTTGACTCAACTATATAAGGCTGGATGAATGGGGTGTATACTGTATAACAAGAAATTGTCCATATACAATGGATTTACCCAGGGCGCTACGTTGCAGCTCTTTGCCTGGGGTCAATATTATGAAGCTGTCCCAATACCATTAGTGAACTATTAGCTCGCCCGGATAAGGATTTATGTAAAAACTAGGACATATTATACTGTCGTTATGTGAGCAAAGAAATATCAGAGTTATGTTTGTGTTATAAATATTAAAGAAACTCTAGCTCTAGCAGGAAATTAACACAAGGATCACAGTATTCCAAGATGTGTCAAGTACCGTGGATTCACGAAATCATGCTCTACCCCACTTAATGTGACAATTCTGAACATTTTTATACCCAACCATAGCTCCTAACTTCAAGCAGCAGATTTATTTTGATTTAAAGTGCTGTAATCGCTCACTCATGGACATTGTCCCAGCCTTTGTGTGAATATTTTTTTACCGCAATCTTTTGCATGGTAACCAATAACCAATAACCATTTATCAATAATCAATTATCAATTTCTGTTCTCATCATAACGTATTAAAATGGATCGAGTTGAAGTAAGGGATATTTTTGTGTTTGAATTATGAAAATGACTGTTGGAACAACATTGGAAGAAATTAAAAAAATGATTTTACGTGTAGTTTTTGTTACGTGTTGATAATCTAGCTCTCTATTTTATCGCTACATTACAACTGCCATTGTGCTGGTACTGTGTTTTTACTTTATACAAGTACAAGTACACGATGGAGGAAATGGATACTCTACAATGATTGTCAGTTTACTCTACCTAGCTGCAGGCTGAACTTCTGGAAACTAAATCGAAGCAGTTGGAATCCGTGCACTCCACTGTCAAGACCGCCGTTCAAGACACTGTTCAAGCTGAGATGAAGTCATACAGTCAAGCTGTGACTATAACTGCACCTGTGCTTACAGAAGAGAGTTTGAAAAAGGTTGTACAGAATGCTGTATCGGAAGAGGATCGCAGTAGGAATGTGCTCATCTTTGGTTTGAAGGAGACTGATGAAGAGAAACTGTGCGATAAAGTTGACGTGATTTTTCAGCAGATTGAAGAAAAACCACGTTTTGCAGCTATCCGGGTTGGGAGGAAATCTGCCAACAAGACGAGACCAGTCAAAGTTTCGCTAGGTAATTCTAGTACCGTTCACAGATATTAGTAAATGCCAAAAAATTGAGACTGTGTGAAGATCACAAAACTGTTTTCATATCTCCAGATCGATCACCTGAAGATCGAGCTATCCATCAGCAGTTGATCTTGGAAATGAAACAGATAGCCAAAGAAGACACTAAAAAACATTATTACATCCGAAATGGTAACATTTGTAGTGAGGACAAGATGTTAGAGAGTGATACATAATAATGAGTGATATACGTCCATATTAAGTTTTTACCGTGTGTGATTATTTTTTTTTAAAAAGGTCAAATAAGTACTTTTGGTTTTTATATTTGTTACTAGTATATTTATATGTTGAGTATCTAGTTTTTGGATTATATCGCGAGGCCAGCCGCTTTGACATTGGCAATCTTTATTTTTTATTTGGATTGTTGATATAAGCGGGATAAAAATGCTTTATTTCATTTCATTTCATTTCATTCAAAATGACTGTTGGAACAACATTGGAAGAAATTAAACAAATCATGGTAATATGTCAATATGATAAAGTGATATCTGTGTCAAGGAGTTTTATATTATTTACGCTGTGAACTACCATACTACTATTGGGGACCAGGGGGGGGGGTGAGGGGGGGGGGGGAGGATGGGGGGTTCTTTATCAAGATATCACAGAACTGCGCTTGGCCTTATTGTTAAATTTTGTCTCAACACCAAAAAGTCATGTGTGTCAAATATTAATATTAAGAATAACTGATAATACTTTTATTCACCTGCTCGTTTACAACTTGGTTTTGATTCGTATTCTATACAACTGTTTTCTTTCAAGTCTGTGTCACAAGTTACCACACTGCTTCCTACTTTGACATGGCCTTCCTGACAGAATACAGTTATAGTTGCTCCATTATCTACTGGAAACTCTGTATTTGTAAACACCCCAGTCCAGTCTTCAGGAAGTTTAGAACAATCTGAAACAGTACGTTGATGAAATAGCATTGGATAGCTATAGAAATATGTACAAATTTTGTTCGTCAGTCATTAGGGGATCTGAATTCAGTCTTTCCTTAACTTTATTGTTGAATTCCTAAAAATGATTGACTCACCAGACTTTATCTTGTACACTTGGTTTGCCCCGCCCCCACCTTCTCCATCAGCACCACAACCGTTGGACCGTCCATGCTTATTATATGTGTCCTCGGCGTCTGATGCACTTGCACACCAACCTCCATTCTGCAAAGCAAATACTTTGTATCCAAAGGACAATGTTGCTGTGAGGCACTTGTCATACGCATCAGGTCGAGATTTGTAAGAACCTTGGAGTAGAGGGTGATTTCCTTCAATTGGCTGTATAGCTCTGTTTTCTGTATCCTTCCAGCAACCGAGTTCTACTACAACCACCTCTGAGCATTCTGAAGAGAGTTTTGTTTGTTAAAAAGGATATTTTTAATTTTCATTCTCCATCATTCATACCTTAATTTTGGGGGATTGCAAAAAAATACACCTAAAATAGCAGATTCTGATTGACGTGAATTCTTAAATACGTATATAATTTAAACAAATGATTCGTCTTTCCTAATTTCCTATCTGGCACATTTAAAGACAGTATCAATGAGACACCAACGCGAACGGTATATATAATATAATTCATGAAATAGTTTTATATAAGTAATATTTTCTTGATTCTTACCTAAAGAGTTCCGTATTAAAGCTGCAAGGAGCAGAATAATCACTGTTCTTGACCAACACATGTTGTGCATCACTCTCAATACAGCACAAGGCAACTAAAAAGTAAGCGGCTCAGATGAAAAATGATAATAAAGTATGTGGTTCCACCTTAACCGCTTAACGGCTTATTTCTCATAAACACGTGGACTCTCGCTACCAGTCCGCCCTTTCCACGTGCGTCGTGCCTTCCTACCAGCACGACATAATTATTAAGTTTTTCTATCTAGTCCTATAATCGGCTCTCAGAACATGCTCTACAAAAAGATCGAAATGAGTTGCTATAATTATAGGATATAATATTAGAGGGTATATTAGAGACAACGTGCTCTAACCATCACTTAACCAACAGCCGTAGTTGAGATTTGGGACTAATGAAATAACGCAATTCTATTTTTATAACCTCAAACCAATTATTTATAATCGTGATAATATACGAAATAACATTATACCACCGGACTTCATTTCAACCTAATAAAACTAAAATCTCAGATAGAGCCGGATCTGCCCCACACCATCCTCTCCACCCTGACCAGCCAGCAAACAGTGGTGAGTCACTGTGCCGGACTCTACTACACACTCTACAAACACGATGAGACAGACAAGTCTCAGGAGACTTGGCTAGCTCCCATTACGGAGCATCTTGATAACCCCTTCCTCTGTGATCTGTGTCTCAGACCTATACTGGAGTTTGGTGAGGGGGGTTTAAGTTTGACTTTTTATTTAATTTAATAATATGATTTTTAATTTTAGTGTTTATGCTGGTCATGGTATTCGATAGGGAGAGTTTTCGATCGCAGCTGTGTTTGTGAAATTAACATTACTGGTTCGGTGAATATTTACAATTGAAGCTGTAACTATTATTTCAGACGAAGGAAGTCTGTATTATCTACGAGATATTCTCAACACCCAGAACAGAACAGATGAGCTTGTAAGAGTACTAAGAGAGGTAAATTAACCAGGTTTTCACGAGCCTAATTCTTTTCTTGTATCGTCCAATCTTCAATAGCTGGTCTACAGTTCAATTGAGACATGAAGATATTCCACTCCGGCATGAACTGCGAATAGCATTAAAACTATACAAGTGCTGTATCTTCGTGTTTGTCTAATTCTCACTCGGTCAATGTCTCAGGGACGGAGGTTAGGGTTCCTGGATGTTAAGTTTACTGACGAGCCTGAGCTGTTTACTGATAACCAAGACACTATCTTCGAGATTCCTCTCTGGAAAATAAAGGTGACAATTGTTGCCCGTCTCGTGTGAATTATTTGCTGTTGAAGTCACATTTTAAGAGCTTGAAACTAATTAGTGTTTTTGGCGGATTAACTATTAGAAATTGGAAGGTTGAATGATCCAAATTTTCAGATTTTGTGTGACGGTAATGACGATGGTAACGTGTTGAGTGTAATGAGTCTGATATGTGATACTAACAAGACTGCTCTTCCTATGACTCGTACTGAACTGGTAAACACTAAACAAGATACGTTTTTGTGTTGTTATTTTTAGATAAATAGCCACAGAAGACAAGTCCACGTGATCTGGATTGACCTTATGAATGCGTATGGGAGAGTCCCGCACAGCCTTATTATTTATGCCCTACGCCGGTACCACCTACCTGAAAGCTTCATTAAGCTTATAATTGAGTATTATGGAAGCCTCAGTGTCCTAGTTAAGTGCAGGAAATGGACATCCAGAACATTCTGGTATGAGCTAGGCCTGTTCCAGGGAGACCCACTGTCCGTGATCCTGTTCCTTATAGTATTCAACATCCTACTGGAACTTCTAGCTGTACTGTGCAGTCAAGTTGGGTATGAGCCAAGCTTCAGTGATAGCAAGACCTCGAAGAAAGCATTTGCTGATGACCTAACCCTGTTGTCGAAGAGCGAGAAGGAGATGAAGAAGATGTTGAAGGTAGTAGAAGAGTTCCTGGACTGGTCGAAGAAAATGAAGGCTAAACCATCGAAGTGCCTGTCTATGTCTATGAAGTGTACTGGAGGAAAGTACAATACCTATGATGCAGAGTTTGTACTAAGCGAACAACAGGTGCCGTCCATTATCCAAGCACCAATGAAGTTCCTAGGAATGTACATGTATGTAGATCTTGAGGTGAAGGAAATTCGGTCCATGATTAAGAAGAAGTTAGAGGACCTTTTGGAAACAACGTCTAATGATGAAATCACCGGTCCAATGAAGGCGTGGGTGTATAACCACCTCATCATTAGTAAGATGTCATGGGGGTTTACTGTTTATAACCTAAGAACCTACCCATCACATTTGTGAGAGAGCTTGAGGCACTGTGTAACAGATACCTTAAGAAGTGGCTAGGGATTGCGCATCCTTGCACCACCACCGTCCTCTACAGGAGTAGAGACCAGAAAGGATTGCAGCTGAAAAACATCTGCACTGAGTACAAAGTCATCCAACTTATTAAGGGACACCAACTTTGTAACTCAAGTGACCCCTACATCAAAAAAGTGTACTCTAACCATAAGGCTATTGCAGACACTCAGAAGATGTGGTCTTATCCCAAAGAGCTGAAAGACCGTCAGCGCCAACTTTACTTCCAAGAGTTAGTTGGAAAACCTGCAGTTGGTACAAATGGCCTCGGGTATGGGACAAGATATGAGGACACATCAGAGAGGAAACTGCTAACCAACATGGTGAGGACCTTTGATGAAGAGACACTTATTTGTTCACTTTTTGACAAAAAGCGGCAAAACCTCTTTCTCACATGGGAAAATACAATGACATTTGACACCACGTGGAATAACCTGATCTATCAACTTAGTCCGGAACTGTTAAAGTTTCATGTCAATGCTATCCATGACACTGCGTCAACACCTAGCAACCTAAAGCTTTGGAATAAAGCCGTTTCAGGAAACTGTAAACTCTGCAGCAAACAAGGGACACTCAATCATATCCTCACGTTCTGCAAGGTTGCACTGAGACAGGGACGTTTCAACTGGCGCCATGATCAGGTCCTACGTGAAATCATGAAGACTGTTTCATCACAGATCGAAGAGTTTAATTCCGACATTGCCAAGGAATCGAAGAGGGCACCGTCGGTCTTTCACAAGGCAGGCAATAAGCGCGAGAAGGTTACCTTAGCTGACCCAACTCATCATAAGACCAAAAGATATTTCTTTTCAGATGCCAACGACTGGAAGATAATATTTGATGAGGATGAGAGACAGAGGAACTTCCCGCAGCACATTGCAGCTACACCACTAAGACCTGATGTAGTGATCTATTCAGATAAAGCAAAGAAGGTTTATCTAATGGAGCTGACTTGTGGAAATGAGCAGAACTTTGCTGATCAAGAGAAGCGAAAGATGAAGAGATATCAGCAGCTGACAGAAGAGATAAAAGCCAACGGATGGGCTTGCAAGCTCCAGACAGTAGAAGTGGGAGCTCGAGGCATTTACAACTATAGCCTCCCAACCTTTATGAACCACCTGAACGTAAACAACAAAGAGAAGAAGAAGGCCTGCATGAAGATCGCTGAGATCAGCCTGAGGGCATCGTATACCATCTATTTGTCCAGAAACAATACCATATGGACAGATGATTGTGAGTTAGTCAAGAGACCAGTAATAGCATAGTAGGAGCGTAGAATGTTTGGGCCCAGAAAAACATGTTTAATACCGCTATGAACCCGTCATAAGCCGGGGACTACTATGAAAATGATGATGCTGTGTTGTTGAAAGACCTTCGACCAATCAAAGATGTACCCCATCACGCCAAGCAGTTATGCTTGTAGGTGAATATACACTTATAGAGTACAACAACTTTATAACACTCCTCCAACTTTATAACACTCCTCCTACAAAGATAAGAAGGAACATTAAAGTTAATTATTTTCTAGTTAGCTAGTTTGAAATGTGTTTAGTTGTGTTTGCTAATGAAAGCAAAGTAGGGTATTCATTAATTTATACTTTTTATCACATCAAAGTGATAAAACTTGGCGTTTGTTCAGATCCCCAATTCCGCAGGATTTGATGACGTACATAATCAAGAACAACCAGATCCGACAAGTACCGTCTTTTAGGAAGAACATGCTGGATAACATAGAGAAATTCCTGGCTAGACTGAACTTCTCCTGTCCCATTCTGAACAGACTCGTCAAAAACAGATACACTGAGGTAGTTCCATGCGTGATAACTCTTTATTTTCACATAGCAGCCACTATTCAATCATTTTGATGTCGAATTATTTTAGATTTTAAAAAGTGACCTGTTCCAAGACGTTTGTTCAGGAGGACGAATTTGTATCTGACAGAGCCAGCGAAATGTTACAATTTTACACGGAGTTCATCGTTAACTGCATCGAGTTATGTTACAGAGAACTGATGCCATCTGCTTCATTCCAGCGCCAGGTTTGTCCGATTCTTCGTCTTAAGGCTTGTAATTTGTTTTTTGTATTGCCAAGGAACCCTAAAATTGTTGTTTGTGTGCCTCTCACCATGGTCACTTTCACACGAATTACTTTGCGTGGGCGGCAATGTATCGATTCCTATGGGCCGCGCACTGCACGCGTGTTAAATTAGCCTAGCTAGCTAGCTGCCTGGCTAGTTAGCTGGGCCGGCCGTGTAGCTAGACTGTATTATATGAAATATATAGCGGTCTGTTTGGATAAGCTTTTAACTTAGTGAACTTAAATTAGTAAGTTAATTGATTATGGAAAAAACCTGAGAACTGTGACTGGAGCTATTGCAAAAGTAAGGCTGCTGTCTTTATAGTTTGGAGGAACCTCAAACCCTTCCGGATTCTTTCATATCACGTTGACGTGGCTGAGTTTCCTTACTACAATAAATAAGAGTTGGATCGAGACTTGATCCTCGAAATATACTTTATTTTACGACATTTGCAATCAACACGATGCTCATCATTAGATAATTCACTCAAATTAATAATGCTCTGTAAGACACGTCAATTTACCATGACGAATCGGTAGATACTGGAATGCTTACTGGAGTATCCCGGTACTGCTCGTGAACTTGACGTCATCTTACTTCAATATGATGCTGCAGATTTCGCATAACAAACTCTTATATTTGCGGGAAGCTCCTTTGAACGGCAGTGATAGTACCTGCATTTCACTTTCTACAATTTAGTGGAGTGTCCTCTGAGAGGACTACAGAAAAATATAAATGTCTGTAATGTTGCCCCACTGCACGGAAATCTTTAGTAAAAGGCGAAAGATTTATTCGTGATGCAATGAGACCAGACTGTCGATAGAGTGGGAAACAAGCCTTATATGTTATGGATAAAATGTATCCTTGTGTTTGAAATTATAAATACAAAACTCTTATAATTTCAAAATTTTAGTCCTTAAAATCATCCAATTCATGTGATACATTGCATCTAACTGACGTGAAGCTTGCCAGGATCGAACCCCTCCTCCTTTTTGTGTGATCTTTGTATTGAATTGAGTGGCCAACCTAAGGGCTGGTTCAAATGAATCGTTCAGCGGATAGAAGTTCCTGATGTTCTTCTTTACTGCATCATACTCGGCCCTGCAGAGGACAGCTGATCGTTCTCCTATGAAATCCATCTCTGTCTCTGCAGAAGTGGCCTGATTAATATTGATGCACTGCAATCATTTTTTTTGGCCCTTCCCTTGTCCTTCAAAATTTGATTAGATTGGTAAAATCTAATAACAAGTATACATAATCGAGAACGCGAGAAAGGGATGTTGCAAAAATTAGTTAATTCTTTAATTTGCCACTCGGGCAAAAGATGGAATGGGTAGACTTGAATAAAAACAAAACATTTATTGTCCAAAACCCAAGCATAACATTCTTGATTAGTGAGGTATTAAGTTCATCATCATTTTTACTTGGTGTATTCTTTTGCTGTTCGCAATATAGGGCGATCGTAACCGTTGCTTGAACAGTTTTTCTTTTTTTAGCGCCATTCACCCTTTTACTGCTATGTAGTTCATGATCAGCCTTTTATTTCTCAGTCATTCAATATATTTAATCGTCCTAAGAGTACATAAAATTCTAGTGTCTTCTCTCGGTGTTCTTCTCCCTAACAGAGCACATTATTTGGGTGATTCTTGTTCAGGTGTCACATTTCATAACATTTAAATCAGCACACTGATCGGTGTTGCCAATGGATACGAGGTGATAAGAATGACCGGTTCTTAGTGATCAACCAATATTTAACCCTGTTTCTTTATTATTGTTAATTTGTGATACAATAACTGTACCGTGCAGTCATAATTTACGAGAACGAATAGATTTTTTGTAGTTATACTGACTTATCCCGCCTACTTCATCACACTGGTTGAACTACAATTTATTGTTCAAATTTTCAGTAGGATAATACTGATATCGGTCAGTGCTGAATTATTCCAAGTTTCCAAATGATTTCAGGAATATTTGCCATGTACCAATAATCGCATTTTTTACATATTTTAACCTCAGTCTAATAACGATGACAGCCAACTTTTGCTGCAACGAACGAATTAAGAACGTTCTAGTTGTCAGCATTACCATGGGTCTGGTGTACATGGCATTTTCCCCTGCGATTGCGTTACAAAACATAGCCCTGGCTGAAAGCAGTGACATTGAGCTTCAAGTGGGATACTACGCAGCGATAGCCAAGACAGTTGGCTCCATAGTCGTCGTATTTGTGTTCCAGATTGTGTACCAGCGTCTGGGAATAAAGCTAACGTCAGGATTGTTCATATTCTTGTGTACCTCATGTTACTGGCCCATGATATGGATTGTGAACCAATACGTTATTTATGCTGGAGAATTTCTTTCTGGTCTTGGAAGTGGAGCCATGTGGGTGTTGAGTCCGATGGTTGTGATGGACAACTCAAAAGAGGAATCTTCACAGAGAAACATGGGGTACTTTTTTGCAATTAACTCAATTGGAATAACAGTCGGAGGAGTGTGCAACTACTTTTACTTTGAAGGAGTGTCTACCATATCTGCTGGTAACCGGGTCATGGTTTACGGTATTTGTGCTGGAATAACTATTCTTGCTTGCCTCGTCGGAACCTTGGGAACGTCGGAGATAAAGGACGGAACAAAGTTCAATAGATCTACAGCGGTTGACTCTGAAGAAGTCACGTATGTTAAAATTGATGGCAACGAAGAGGACGTGGACAGTGTATTCATAGAGAACAAAACCCCCACAAACAACGAAGAAAAAAATAGAAAATAATTTGGGTTATTCGTTGAAAGAAGTCATTGCTTGGCTCAAGAAAATGGGAGGACGGCTTGCATTTTGGGTACACTTCATACCATTGATCTACTGGTCATTTACCTGGGGCTATATAGAAAAGATATTTCCTACAGCAATACCGTCGATATCAGACGAGAGGAAGTTAATCCCTCTCACGACAGTTATAATGGGAATAACGACCCTAATTGGGTCGAGTACTTGGAATTTGGTTTCAAAGTGGACAAGCCCAACGTTTTGCATAATCATCTCGACTTTACTGTTGCTGCTGGCCATTACCTTATCCGTTTTGATTTTCCCAAAAGATTCTGCCTCTAGCATTCTGGAGGTAGGAACAGTCGAGACTTACTTGCAACCCTCCACTGCCTACGTGGTTATAATCTCAGCTCTGATCGGTTTAGCGGACAGTGCTGTCAGTATCATTTACTTCAATGCTGCAGGACGGCTGTACGGCGAGGAAACATCTCTGGGTTACTCGGTCAATATGTTTGGGTACTACGTCTTTATCATTCTGTCAATGTTCGCTCCCTCTTTTGTTGATATTCACACTTATTGCTACGCTATGATGGTTTCTGTGGTGGCGATGTGCTTTTCCATAACTGTCGGACTCAAGAATTATCTTTAAGTGTTATTTCTTTCGAGAAAATCTGATTTTTTCTCTGTAGACTCAGTGATGCTGCATCGCCAATATAAAGCTAAACTTCAAGTGTCTGTCATCTGAAGTTTGGATTTTGAAGTACTGAATTTTGAAATAGCAATCCACGTCATCGAAGAAACGTTCAATCGATAACTTAAGACTCAATAATAATTTCAGATCTGACAGTTAGTGTGTGATCTGACAGTGTGATCATCGCATCTGTATTGAGAAGAGTTTCTGATATTGATCAAAATATCCTACTAAATATATTGACCGTCCAGGAATTCGAAGTTACATTTGAGATGGATCCATTTAATAAAATATTCAGCACATGGACCCATTCTTTTCATCGATGAGCAGAATTGACAAAGTTCTAACTGGGGGTCAAGGACCTCTTGAATACATAATATGTATTATTTTAGGAAAACAAATTCTTAGATTGTATTATTTAGGCTCTTTATTGCATGAAAAAGTCCTATTTTTGCCTATAAGTAAAAGGTAAAGTCATTTAATAATGATAGTTAAAGCTTACCGTAAATTTTATTATTATTTAGTTTCATGTGAATTTTATGAACAATTTCTAAACAGTCAAACACATTGAATTGAATCGAATTATAAAATTTCGGAACATGAATGAATTTTCAATAATTTAGATGATATTTCAAATCTGTCTTTTATTTCGATCGCTCTAAAAGTAACAAACACATCTAGTGCAGTGTTAGGATCGGCTTTGGTAGGTAGAAAATAGAACTGTATTGCTTGAATGTGTTAACATCTGCTGGTCAAAAATATGATATTTTATAATCAAAATTCTAATAGTTGGGGGGGGGGTCCAACCCGATGTCCGATATGAGGGTTGATGAGGCCAAAATCGAATTCGGAAAAATCGGAAAAATCGGAAAATTGAGAAATTTAACAGAATCGATCTCTAAGACCTCTCAGAAGTGATATAATTCAACCAGAACCCCTACATATGCTATATTGTTATGAGAAAACGAACCAATTGGACATTCCAATAGTATGTTTTATGTGTTTTCCACTTCAGGGGCTAGTATGCTCACTACTAGTTGGAGTTGTCATGTACTCCCAGACCCGAGTGCTTTGGCCTCTTGACGTGAGATCGATTGTTTCGGCTCATTAATTTTATCCCTGTTACTTGTTATTATGTATTAGTACAACACTAGGTACCGGGTTATATTTTGTGGTCCGGTCTTTAAACATACCATACTATCACTAGTACACTGCACCTTAAATGTATAGTCAAGTACATTTGTATCGTAACACATGTTTGGCTGGGGGATCATGTTTTGTGTCCGTTGGGTACTATACCCTATATTTTAAAAACGGACAAAAAGTAGGGCGGACAAAATCGGACAAAAACCGACAAAACATTTAGATCTAGGTAAACTATAGGTAAAAATATAATATTAATCATAAGCTAAAATGTACTAATCTTTGTATTCTAAATGGGGAAAAAGAAGAAACATTGTCAGTCAGTCGAGAAAATTGTCAGTCAGGCTATATGGCAGCTTTGTAGATGTTGTATGCTAGTAGTGGTCCCAGGCTTGCTAGTAGTGGTCCTCAGTCTTCCTCCTCCTTCCCCTCAGTCCTCCTCACCCTCCTCCTCAGTCCCCCTCCTCCTCATTCCTCCTCCCCATCCTCCTCCTCCTTCTCCCCATCAGTCCTCCTCCCCAGTCCTTCTGATAGTCGTCCTCCTCGTCCTTAGTCCTCCTCGTCCTTCTACTCCTGAGTCCTCCTCCTCTGGAGTCCTCCTCATCCTATTCCTCATCAGTCCTCCTCCTCCTCTTCAGTCCTCCTCCTGACTCCTCGTCCTCCACCTCCTGAGTCCTCCTCCTTCCCCTCAGTCCTCCTCACCCTCCTCACCCTCCTCCTCAGTCCCCCTCCTCCTCAGTCCCCCTCCTCCTCATTCCTCCTCCCCATCCTCCTCCTCCTTCTCCCCATCAGTCCTCCTCCCCAGTCCTTCTGATAGTCGTCCTCCTCGTCCTTAGTCCTCCTCGTCCTTCTACTCCTGAGTCCTCCTCCTCTGGAGTCCTCCTCATCCTATTCCTCATCAGTCCTCCTCCTCCTCTTCAGTCCTCCTCCTGACTCCTCGTCCTCCACCTCCTGAGTCCTCCTCCTTCCCCTCAGTCCTCCTCACCCTCCTCACCCTCCTCCTCAGTCCCCCTCCTCCTCATTCCTCCTCCCCATCCTCCTCCTCCTTCTCCCCATCAGTCCTCCTCCCCAGTCCTCCTGATAGTCGTCCTCGTCCTCCTCGTCCTTAGTCCTCCTCGTCCTTCTACTTCTGAGTCCTCCTCATCCTATTCCTCATCAGTCCTCCTCCTCCTCTTCAGTCCTCCTCCTCCTCTTCAGTCCTCCTCCTGAGTCATCCTCCTCATCCTCCTCCACCTCCTGAGTCCTCCTCCTGATTTCTCCTCCTCCTGATTCATCCTCCTGAGTCCTCCTCCTTCTCCTCAGTCCTCCTCATCCTCCTCATCCTCCTCAGTCCTCTTTTTCCTTCTCCTCCTTCTCATCTTACTCCTAAGTCCTCCTCCTCAGTCCTCCTCCTCCTCCTCCTCAGTCCTCCTCCTTCTCCTCCTCCTCAGTCCTATTCCTCCTCCTCAGTCCTCCCCAGTCTTCCTCCTCATCAGTCCTCCTCCAGTCCTCTTTCTGACTTTCTCCTCCTCCTCATCCTCAGTCCTCCTCCTCATCCTCCTCTTCCTTCTTCTCATTCTTATTCCTCCTCCTCAGTCCTCCTCCTCGTCCTCGCTCTCGTCCTCCCCCCAGTCCTCCTTCTCTTCATCCTCAGTCCTCCTCCTCATCCTCCTCCTTAGTCATCTTCCTCCTCCTCAGTCCTCCCCCAGTCTTCCTCCTCATCAGTCCTCCTCCAGACCTCTTTCTCGTCATCCTCAGTCCTCCTCCTCATCCTTCTCATTCTTCTCATTCTTATCAGTCCTCCTCCTCAGTCCTCCTCCTCGTCCTCGCTCTCGTCTTCCTCCTCGTCCTTAGTCTTTGCGTCCTCTTAGTCGTCGTCCTCCTCCTCCCCGTCCTCAGTCCTCCTCCTTCTCCTCCTTCTCCTTCTCCTCCTTCTCCTCCTTCTCCTCCTCCTCCTCCTCCTCCTCCTCACCAATCCTGCTCCTCTTCCTCAGTCCTCCCTCTCCTCTTTAGTCCTCCTCCTCTTCGGTCCTCCTCGGTCCTTCTCCTCCTCCTCAGTCCTCCCCAGTCCTCCTCCTCAGTCTTCCTCCTTCTCCTCCTCCTCCTCAGTCCTCTTCCTCTTCAATCCTCCTCCTCCTCTTCATCAGTTTACACAATTTATTGTTACAAAAATGTTTTTAAACGCATTTGAGTCTGTAACATATTGACATGTTACTGTTACTGACTCAAAATGTGCCCGAGAATTTTGTTGTTTAACAGAGTCTTACTCTCCAGTACTATGGAAAAGTTGGTACATGATAAATAAAGATTTTGACAAATAAAGTGATTTTCATCCCTTTTAATGTTATTAAAAATTGTGTAGACTATTCTTTGTATCTAACTGAGGATTGGAAGTTTGAGAAAGGACCATGGTCATTAACCGTGCTACCCATTTCTGCAGATAGCCTGTTACAAATTGTGGAGACAATCTAAATCAAAAGTTACTAAAGTGTTCGCTATTTGTTACGATTGTAATTACCAACCGTACCTCTTTCAATTGTGGACCGGGGTGGATGTTTCTGTCAAACAAGAGTTGATACGACAATGTGTTGATTTTCGGACGAAACAATTCTTGTTTGGAACAAGAAACCATTTTGGGATTCTGGGACCACCACCAATCGATTTCTTGTCATATTTAAGTACAGAAATAGCTACCTATATCGCCTAGAAACCTCAGAGGGAAGATTTAGATTTTCCCGATTTTTTCCGATATGAGGGTTGATGAGGCCAAAATCGGGATCGGAATGATCGGAAATGATCGGGTTGGACCCCCCCCCCCAATAGTTACTAAGTTACTACTAATTAATACTAATTACTTTCTTCTTGTTAGTAAGTTACTAAGTTACTAAGTTACTAAGTTACTGTAGTTACTAAGTTACTGCTACTAGTTACTAAGTTACTGCTTCTAGTTACTAAGTTACTGCTACTAGTTACTAAATTACTGCTACTAGTTACTAAGTTACTAAGTTACTAAGTTACTAAGTTACTAAGTTACTACTATCCGCTACACGCAGGTCACCGTAATCGGAGTGCTAGAGAGATTCTACTCGAGTCTGTGTCACTGCAACGTAGCCTGCCTCACTCAAATTAACGAGGATAACCTGAGAAAACTTGTGGACGCTATCGCTTCTCCCTTTGAGGTGATATTCCTATAAATCTTTTTCATGATATCAGCAAGTTTGTCATTTTATCGTTCTTGTAAAGTTTTTTCAACGATTGTAAGCGAAATTCTGCCATTAATCGCTTAGAAAATCTGTTGTGGCTTTAAACAATCAGCAGTTTAAATTGTGATTTCCCTCAGAATGTCCGTACATCAAGCGTGTCCTGTATCTCATGTATTAGGAATATTCCCGTGGAATGTCTGGTAGTGAACATGAAGAAGGTACTAGCTAGCATCTCTTCTCCTAAAGGTATGTGCATGATCTACCAATCTTGGAGTTCTTAACAACTCTCAATCAGCTAAATTCCAATGTCTGTCATCAAACTCGGCCAGCATTCATCAGAATACGATAATCATTAACATTCCAGGTGTGAGTAGTCAGAAAAACAGCACACTGTTCAGTTTCATCCTCACCAAGACATTAGAGGACACCACCCTAACTCCTCTCAGCATTACAATGGATAGTCCCTACAGCAACTTGTTCACCAGAGGTTTTTATCTTCAACATTTTTACTCTGCCAAGTGCTATGGCTTATCTGCTTATGTGTGCAAGAGTAAAATGACGACATTGACAGCAAAAGATGACAAGTTAATTTGAACGTTGGTGACAAATAACCACGAACCACTTAGTCAACCATCGATATTTTCAGACATTTCGGAGGACCAGAGTTTACTCTTCCAATGGATAGTTGGCTTTTTCGCAATCTTGGATCATCAGGTGTGACTTAGAATCATCTGTGTTCTGTTTAAAAAAATATTAACTTATAGTATGTATTTTCGTGTTTATTGCCAGATGATAATCCACTCTGGATTCCCCGGAATATTTATCAGTATCATTATATTATCATAGAAAGATAGAAGATTATTTAATAGCTTAAAACTCTTCCAGATAAAAAAGGCTAATGAAGGGTTGATGGAAGCTGCTAGAACAAGCCCAATATTCCCGTGTTTCAACCTACTGGACGTTACCCTCAGGTAAAGTTACTAGGGTTGTTACAACTCAGACTCTATTTATATACGTCCAGAACATGACGTTAGTCTCACAATGTCAATACTTTACAACTCTTGTCAGAGAGGGAGATCTAAAGATAGACCTGAAGCCTGGAGAGCAGGAGGTTGTGATATCTAAACTGTTAGAGTACAGTCAGCAGCTGTGTACTTTACTTCATGAACCCATTACTGATGAGAGTCCCGAAGGACTTCTTTTAATGGGCAGCATTGGTCAGTGGCTATCTAATAATTATACTTTATGATAGTAGTAACATCCACGAAATTACAGATAATTTAACATAATGCCAGACGAATTCCTCTTAAAATTCAACAACTTTGTTCCCTGATTTCTCATCCTCAACTATCCTCAGAATCTGGGGGAGGATCGTGTGGGCCCCAGCTGCTCCTCTCAATGACTTGGAGGACGATGCAAAGTGTGTGTAACTGCCTGGTTACCCTGGTTACCAGCTCCGTTACCACTCCTCAACATGATCTCACTATCGGGCTCTACCTAAAGAACTTGCTTCTAACAGTTCGACATCATGGTGTATTTGAAAACGTGCACTCTGCTTTTATCGCATACTCTGCTACTAGTAAGATACATTTATTTTTAGCAGCTTAATCTTCTTCTTCAGCGAAATAGCATATATTAACTTCTGCATCTCTAATCTCTATACTATCATATTTTGATAATTTATTGTTGCAGCTTCTCCAGTACTCGGTTTTTTTAATAATTTAGCGTATCACTAACCCTATACAATCTCAGTGTGGGATAGGAAGAAGGATGTACTGCTGACCTGGTTAGAAGAGGTCTTGTGTAGAGTTGAGAACTCTGAGAACGATATGAGTTATACGAGACGCAGCGCTGGTATCCCCTCTATCATGCAGGTTAGGGGGAGGTTAAAGGACACATCCTCTTGTGAGGCTGCTTGTTTGGGATTTGTTAGTGGCAGAAGAATTGATAGATTGCGTATCAGGGATTCTTATTTACAACGTAAACTGTCAGATAAACATCTCGAATTATAGTTATCTTCTATTTCAGGCGATTCTTGTGACAGAATCTGGTCGAAACGGAAAGCCATACTTCCGATCCTCCATGGAACGTCTCTTGAACGTCTCAGAACATCAGACTCTGGTAACAGGACGTATCCACGCTCTCAACATCCTACACACTCTCTTCAAAGACAGTAAACTAGCAGAGTACGTCGTACCTTTCATCGGGAGAGCATTCGAGATCTCTATAAACGGGTTCACCGAGCGACTGTGGTCCTTGAGGAACGCATCGACCATGATGTTTTCCGTTCTGACTGCTCGGTTATTCCACAATCGTCACAGTACCATTAGACAGATCACTGATGCCACCTTCTTCACTCTGTTTCCCAACCTGCATCCCTTCTTCGTGAGGGAGCTGAGTAAAGCTGTCGAGGAGGAGAAGTTGTTGTATTATCCTAGTTTGTATCCGACTCTTCTGATCCTACAACGGATAACCCCTTGTCAGCTCACAACTGGAGACCCTAACTTGTCTCTGTCTCATTTTGTCGAGGTAATCAAGAAGTTGTCCCTCAGTGGGGTGCTAAAGACAAGGAGTCTAGCGGCGGCAACCCTATCTTCAATAATATCTGGTTCGGAGATGCAGGAGTTTGTGATAGGGCAGATACAGTCCTTAGAACGGGACATGAAGCAGAACCTGTTACATGGTACCTTGCTCCAGGTTAAACATGGACTGGTAAAGTGTTCTGATCTAGCTGCGGTATCACGTGATCTGGTCAGAAAGTCGTGGTTGTTAACGGACAACAATTGTCCTTTCACAGCTGCACTGTATGTCGAGAATCTCAGTAAAGCTACCACCACATCAGACAATTCTCCGGAACTAACTGCACTGACCCAAAAGGCGATGAGCCTCTTAAGATCACCACATCAGCTCGGACCAATGTACACACTAAAAGAAGCGTGTGTAGAGTTTATCATGTCTCTACAATCCTCGGAGCTAGTGAGAGATATGATGTTGATGAAGCAGGGCTTCCTCTGTGAGATGGTGTTTAAAACACCGGGTGTTGAGGAGTGGTTACGATTGCATGCGGAGGATATGTCGGATGTTTCTGAATGGGGATTGAGTGCTGCGCTTCACATCCTGAAGGTTTGTTCTTTCCCTTACTATATACTGTATATTCGCAATACATGCCTCAATTTAAGGCAGTTGTTAAACTAACCCTATCATTATTTCTTTAAATTTTTATTTTTCAGACGGGATGCGCGGACGAGAATTTCAAGACAAATATCTACCATCACGTGATCTCGCTTTTAGAGTGCAACCGCAACCCCAGTGTTCGGACTAAAGGTCTTGAGATATTGTCATATATCTCGAATGTTCCTTGCCCAGAAAACGCCTTACGTGTTATAGGTTAGTGGGTACAATGAATTCATCATATTTTGGCAACATATTCATTACTAGAAACTACTAGAAGTGTTGTTACGATGGTCGGGCAAATAGTATGTACGTTTTATTTGTCAGAAAGAAGATGCTCGTGACTCCGTGACAACGATTATTTTACTCTCATTCATCGTAAATATTTCGGAATACTACCGTGTTCCGAAATCCGAAGTCCATTTTATAGCAGGTTGACTCTTGAGCCAAATAATATGCTGACTAGTGTCTGCTATAAACTTATAAAGAAATAGCTAACATCAACATTTTTAAATATTGGACTTTGGAATACTTATGTAGTCACTAGTCTGTATTATGAACCGTCTATTTTAGGTTCGGCAAATCGTTAACATTTAGAGAATTTGCCAGTGGGGAAAATATAATTTATTCGGTGCAATTCTCTGAATTTGCCATGTTAGCATTCGGAACTTGCGAAAGCAATTTTGGGTTGGATTAGGATACTACCTAGCTAATTAAAACTACGGAAACCAATCGGTTTAATCTGAATATACCGGAGATCGTAATTGATATGTAAATGGCTGACGCTCATGATATGTAAATCTAAAAATTAGTAAATGGGGTAAATGTCAGAAACGTGGTGGTTGAAGCTTGGGTTATTAAGGCACGGGCACCTGCTATGGGCTCGTGCTGGATAAGCGTTTTGTGGGACATTAATTGTGGTTTATACTTTGTTGTTGTTGTTGTTGCTGTATTTTCGATAAATGTTTTTACCAATGTTTATTTTTCAACTGGAAATAATGTTTAAAAAGTCCAAAGTTTGCCTGGTCGCTGAAAGTTACTATACTGTATTGCACAGAACTGACCCAGAGGCGGGTAAAGCATCTTCATGTTATCCTCTCGTGGGCCACCAGGTCCAGCCTCTCTTTAAAAAAAGAAAAAAGAACTGTCTTTCTTCAGGACCCATGGCCCGCATGCCAACATGCATCTAATGCATTACCGAGGAAGAGTGCTTGTAAGCGGTGATAACCGGTTCAAGTTGGCCTCTTCTGGGATTTATTTAACTAGAGAGTAGAGGTTAAGAATCAACATTTTTGCGGTTAAGGGATTTATAAAAACTTATTTATAAACTTTTACCCGTTATTATGACACTATTAGTCATTATCATTTTGGATATTTCTCATCATAGTTATGCATTATGCCCAGTATTCATATCCTGTAATATCAACTTTCTTACTTTAAATAAGACATCACCCCATTGATAGTCGAGGTACGTAGTATAGGTAGTTTCATAACCATTTGCATAATTATTAACTTATAACCATTGTTAACTTATTAACTTAATATATTTGATAGTTATAAATAATCATGTTGGAATTGTTATATTAGTAATAATTGTTATATTATATAAGTTATTGTTATATAATATATATATAAGTTATTGTTATATTAGTAATAACATAGTATTGTATGAATGGAGGGTTGCTAGCCACAAGTCTAGGGCACCTCCACTGGTACTCACTACTCACTACTCACGGTCAGCTACTTAAAAATAAATATTCATCATTCATTTGCACCAGAACCCGGACGTGACCTGATTTCGTTCATAACCCTATATATAATATATAATATATATATAATTATGTATAATTATGTATAATTCATGATTAGGAACTTAATTTGATTCGGCGTTTAAATGATTATTACCTTTTATTGAAATGTTCTTCTTTTCTAAAATTAATGTATCAGTACCGAACTTGCTAGCGCAGTGAGACTGTTCTCGGAATTCAGCTGCATTACATCTAACGGCAAATTTTACAAATTTATTAACGTGCCATTTGAATTATGTTCCATTTTGTTCTATTTAATTACCCCCCCCCCCCCCCCCCCCCCGCTTAGCATCATAATTGTACTGTAAATATTCAAATTACAACAACTGGTCGATTCATTAGTTCACCAAAATGTGAACCTATAAAAAGTAGGTGAGTGATGTTCATCATACTTCCTGAAGATTTGATCGTTCGTAATCGTCCTGTTCTATCATTAGCCACATCTAAATCTAGATATTTATTGTTGACAAATTATATAACATGATAACAATTTCCTCTGACACGTCATATTGAAATGTCAACTCATAATTGCAGTTTTCTGAACTTCTAGTTGACCTTGATCAGTTTTATCTGTTTTAACTTTTCATGGGCATTTATTGTGCTCGTTAAAAATTTGGTCAGTAACAGTTTCTGTGCTTTCTCGAGCTTTAGCCTTTATTTCGGCTTTAGTATTACCTGGCATACTTTCAACGCACATAACTCCAAACGCGAGCCCGCAAGGTGAATGTTTATACGTCACCGTTTGCCTTGTAAAACAAAGTTCATAAGTGGGTCAGAAAAATGGGTTTGAAACTGATATTTAAGGAGTGTCTCCCAGCTGATCTTCGTTTACATATACTAAAGGCAGCTCTGTTTTTAAATTTCGTGTTAACTTAGCCGCCGAGTATATACTATAATTTATGTTAATATCAACTTTACAAACTCTCTCTCTATCTCTCTCTCGGTTAAGGTCAACGGTTTCTGACTTCCTACTTTAAGAGGGAAGCCTTCTCGCCGTGCCCACAGCATGCAACAAACTCAAAGACAGTAATAAATTTTCAAAAATTATTACAGTAATTACAGCAAAATTTTAAAAATCATGTCAGTGTGATCTTTTAAAATCAAAATGCAAAGATGATACTGCTATAAACCTACAATAACCTCTCCTGGCCACAATACTAAGTCACCAGTTCAGATTGTCTGTTCAGCTCAGCTACAGTAAAAATATACAGAGTTCCAGGCATAAATATCACAATGTAAATTACCTATAATATGATAAATATTTAAATCAAGAGAAATATAGAGTAATTACAACTTAAGTTGTCATAATTTGTGACATCATCAAAACTGCTCAAATCATTTATGAGACCAGTTTTGAATTTTGACATAAAATCTAATTCATTCGGAATCTACTGCTAAGCTAAAATATCACAATATAATTTTGGTTCTTATATAGAAAGTGAAAAATTATTTAACATGCACTAAAGGCTATCAACCATTTTATTTTGCATTCAGTCAGTCTCTCGGTTGACAGATTTCATATTTAAATCGGATCGATAGTTCTGCAACAAGGGGTCAGATTACGCGTATTCCAGGATCCGGTTGATGTATCACAGGTAGCAACAGTTGCATCTTCGTTCATGAGAACATAATCTGGGTGACTGCAGCGGGCAGTCACTTTGTAATCTTCAGATCCCGGTATTTGTTCCTGAGGATCCATTTTTCAGTAACATATTTTTATATAGTTTTTATATAGTTTTAAACTAATTACAACACTACAAATCTATTACATTTATTGAGAAAATTTTGTAATGTAACGCGATGGAAGTTCTTTAAGCGGGCAATTCCAGTCCAAACCCTGGATAAATGACATAAAAGATTCGTTTTCACTTGTTTGCATGAAAAGCATTAATATAACAGTAATAATAGTAAAATTAATTCTTATTGTTTTATAAAAAGTTATCCATCTTGCATCTTGCCACTAGATAATACCTCTACTAATACAGTGTTGGGTGGTGTAGTTATAGGTCTGCAGCGTAGTTTTATCTTCAGTTCTGTTTCTTCAGTTACAATATCTAAGCCAGAATCGAACCTGACCCTAAAGGTTCATTAGAATTGGGTTATCGATGATCAATCTCAAGTATAAAACTAGCATCTGCATCATCTGCAAATAAAATGTACGTGAACAGATTGCAGGAATCGAGAAGAAATATTTCATGTAGATATTTAATACCGCTATTTGTAATTGCCACTGGAAAATGCTCCGAATGTTTTGTATTTCTTGAGTGCCTTAATTTGTTTCAATAAAATTCAGTCCTTACCTGAAAGCATAGTTGCCTCCATCAGAGTAGTCCACTTCATCAATTTGGTATGAGATTTGAAATGGTTCGAATTCACTTTCTCTTGTAACGACCACTGGAATTTCTCGACTCCGCCCTGGGAGGAGACAATTTATACCTAGCGAAAATCAGCTTTTTCGACTCTAGAGTTTAGACCTTTTACCTGTTAGAATAGTAAGCTTTGTAATTGTTAACATAGCATTTATTAAATCGCCAAATTTAATAGAGATTTTTATTTATCTTTTTTTTTTTAAATTGATTCAAACATACCCATATGATGGAGATATACTTTCTTTGGTTTATTAGGTCCATCAATTTGCGCTGATAAAGTCGCTGGCGAATTCTCAGAAACTGGATCTATTTTGGAAACTGTTGTGGTCACCAATTTAACCATGATTGGATCACAGGTCTGTAGTTTGTCTGATAACGCAATCACCGCCCTGAACTCTGAAGATTGAATTTGTCAATTCTGAGATTTAACTCTCTCTTATTATTCTTTGAAAAGCTTTACTTTGAATCTCTCATTCCTCAGTCTTTTTGGGTATTATAAGAATTATATCGTTTGATAATAAAAACAGTATCTCTAAATGAAGAGATATATATATATATTAATCGTGTCCATACCCTAATGTAAAAGCTTCTAACAACCTGTAAAATCGATCGTATTGATACGATTGATATATCTCTTTATTTAGAGATACCCTCTTTATTATTAGACTAGAGTTATTAGACTAGAGTATTGATCAATACTCTAGCCTAATAAAAAACTCTAGTCTAATAAAAAACTCTAGTCTAATAAAAAACATCAAACAACCTGAAATATCAGCTTCCTTCACATTTTGAACGAAAAGCATAGTCGACATGACACTGCCATTCAGTTTAGATATCATAGATCGGTAACCAACCGTGGGTACCCTTCTCCATTCTTTGTTGCCTATTTCTAAAAAGCGATGTAATATGTATTTGTCTGAAGGCTACAGCAATGTTAAAATATTCTGGAGATTTAGTATTTAAACCTGGGTCTAGACTCATCTCGAGATGCGAGATACAAATTTTTTTTGCACAAATTATTCAAATCATTTATCAAATTTTCGCAACTGACAACTTATTTTCACCTTTACGATGCCAGCCGATTTTGACAGCATCAGTATCTTTAGCTGTGAAGAATGTTGTTAAGATGACCCGTTTTCCTATGACTGTCCAAACTGGTGTAATTGCAAATGCCTCTCCTGAAAATTTAAGAAACAGGTCACTCACCATACGCTGTTCCGGTAAAAGTTATATTACTGCAAATCATAGCTATACAGGATATGTAATTTAATTTCATCGATATGCCTAACGCATTCGAGCATGTAAATAATTCAGTTGTTTGTGGTTGACTGGTCAGTTTTTTAACAAGACACGTGATTTGATAATCTTACATATGGGGTATGTATTCTGAGTCCAATTCAATTGTTTTCTAACCTTGAAATATTTGAAATATATTTAAGAATTAGGTCTCTCATCATACACTGACAATCTTTCGGTAAAGCTTATATTACTGCAAATTTGAAATTATAGCTATACTGGATTTGTAATTTGCCTATGCATTCGAGCATGTGAATAATTCAGCTGTTTGTGGTTGACTGGTCAGACTTACCTAATAAGTAGACTTCTCTGGTAAGATGGATCGAGGGTAACTTTTCAAGGTTTACCGAGTAATTGAATACAGCATCTTTCAAGTGAAGATCATCTTTCTTTGTTGCTTTTGTCAGCGAATTTGGGCTGGGAACAACAATTATTTTTTTCAATTTTTATCATCATATTATAATGTCAAGAATCCAATTTGCTTGTTGCTGATTTCTGATTATAGGACACATGATTTAATAATCTTACATGATGTATTTATTTTCCGTTCAATTCAACGATTTTCTAACCTTGAAATATTGAAAACTTCAGTGAAAGCTACTCCGTTTGTTAGATTTTCAAGTTTCGTTGATACGCTCACAATGTCTAACTGAAAAATGCAGCTTTATGAGTTTAAATTATCACTCTGTTTACGAAGTCTTGGTAAACAATCGAATATTTTCCAAACTTTAGCTGCAGTTCGATATAATTTGTTGATTTTGTTACATACCTGAGGGATGTCCAAGTTACTAGATATTGGGGGAGATGGAATATAAGAAACTAAGGTGATCACAGCTCCTGTATCTGGGGTCACTATCGCTGATTCGGTATCAGTTGTTATCTGTATCCCGTTCAAAGTACTTGTTGGTGGCTCTATCACAAATTGTTGATTCGTTATATTGGTTATATTGCTCCCCGCCCCATGTCCTGCAAAGTCGAAGCTTGTAAGAAATTTAACACTTTGATAATGTTACTTGGTTTTTGTTTCGTTTAGATAAGTTATATCTTATGTTTAGGAAATTTGAACTTAGATAAAGTAATGAAGTTGCTTATACCTGTATTATATTGCGCTACACAATTAACTGTTGCTCCTTCAGTTGCTGTCGAGTGAGTTGTGTTTATATGCCAGGTGACCCTTTCAGTTGAATTGACTTTATCCGAGATTTCAAACAGGATAACTTTGTTTTCTTTACTGTAGCCCAATCCCTCTCTGCTTACGGACCTGCCATCCAACATCCACCTGAGACCATTTTAAAAACTCATGTGTGAAGAACAATGTTTTACGAAAAGAGATTGATCTTGGCTATAATGTTAAGGTAGGATAGTTTACTTTCAGACCCACGCGCTATAAATTACTTTAACCCCCCGAAATTTATTTTCGATTTCACAGAACTACTGCAGTTTGTATATTCATTACATACCTCAAGTCAATCAGAACTGAGAAAGTGAGATTGAATGGAAGCGAGCAGGTGATAGTAGACTTTCCTCCTGGAAGGCCCATCACCGAGATAGGGCTCTGACTGCCGGTGACTGGAACTTCTGTTATTATCAACTGATTGCTTTTCTTTAGACGCTCTGAGAAGGCATTCGTTAATTTGACTTAACAAGATACTTTCTCATTCATTGAGACATATATTGCTATGGAGCAAGGGATTGGATCAGTATCAGATAATGTACACATTATACTAACTAGAACTGTGCTAACTAGAATTGTACTAACTAGAACTGTGCTAACTAGAATTGTACTAACTAGAACTGTGCTAACTAGAATTATACTAACTAGAACTGTGCTAACTAGAATTGTACTAACTAGAACTGTGCTAACTAGAATTATACTAACTAGAACTGTGCTAACTAGAATTGTACTAACTAGAACTGTGCTAACTAGAATTGTACTAACTAGAACTGTGCGCGGTGTAGTAGCATCTCCAGGTCCCGACTGTGGCTCGGTTTACTTCTATTTGTATCCGTGAAGTCTTTGGTGTGTTAACAGCATCATCTCTGAGCGATAGATTTGTGATCAAGGGTTAATTATTAATTTAAGAGTAAATCAGCCAATCTTAAGTAATTTGATGCATCAAGAATCATTAATTGTTACCTGCAGAATTGAGCTGAACACGGTACATTTTGATGATTCCATGAGAATGATCCTTCCTCGATAGCTTTGAAGTAGTGACTACATAAGGCGTTTATCATATAACCAGTGAACTCTCTCACCTTATCTGCCGGCTCCAATGTTAAATCTGACAAAAAATGTTCATGTCATGAATTTCTTTTGACGCCTTCTTTGACACAGTATTTAATTTGATTTAAGATAACATGACTTTCGATTTTTTCGACAAACACACAATTTTGCTTCAGGTAGAGTCAAAACGAAACAAATTCCCATGTTTGCTAATTTTGTGCGTAAATTTTAAATTACCGTTCACTTCGATTATTGAGATAAAATAATGCTCCTGCTTGCTCTTCACCCTACAAGTGTAGGACATGTCTTCAATAAGAGAATGTACCAGTAGACTTGTAGTTGTAGTGGTATCCGGCGCGGTCTCTTTCTGAGTTCCTGAGATTCAACTATAATTCAAACACTCGAAATATTCCTGCGATTTAATTTAATGTTTGAGGTTGTATTAATATATCCGTTAAAAAATTGTAATACAATGATGTTACCTTGAACGACTCCAGTTTCGTTGTACCAGGCAAAATCTAACTTATCAGTAGGAGATATGACCAAGCATTTCACTTCGGCAGTTTGTCCAGTTCTCACGTAATCATTCGTTGTGCTGGACCAAATAAAATAATTATACGAGTTGAAGGTTTATATTTCCGATTTAGGATAACTGGCCATTTCATTTCACAAAGAGCATTTTTTAGTAATGATTCAGTTTATTAGTGATTTTCTGACAATGGCCACATACTTCTAATTGACTTAAATAGCCAAACTCCTTTTTTGATTTTCCTTTTAATTCTAACCTGACTATGAATGTTTTGAGGTATGCGAGCTCATTTCCTTGGGTATTATCCTCACCCACTGTGACCCTACATGTGAATATCTGGTCTCCTGCACGTGTCCCTT